GCCTATCTACATATCACTTTTGTTACTATTATGTGCCCACGTCTCAGCAAAAGCAGGATTAGACACACCAATACGTAAGGTACACAGACTGGCAACGTCAATAGAACTGCGTATGTAAAGAATTTGCCAGTGGTCGAATAAGCAGGAAACCGAGGTCAAATGGGTCAGAGTCTACACAAGAATTCATATACAGCGCCAAGCTGCTATCTACAGTAAAACTGTTCATACAGCATGCACAAAAGCGTTCCTAAGATTGCCTCTCAGAGCAACGAAAGATGAGATTAGTCAAGTTGTGGTTACAGCCGATCAGTGTCAGAGGATCAAAGTGAAGGAAGAACTGGACACAATTAAGCTGGAAAGGGTAGGTGAGCGAACATGGGGATCCAGAGAACCAGTAAATTATGGTTCTGGATGGTTAGGAGAAAAGTGCTACCCGACAATAAACTATCGCTTAGAGTTGAGAGATGTCTTATTCACTGACGAAGGAATTTTGCTGCATGACGGAACTAACAACCGTCATGGCTGCCAGACCACGACAGGCAAATGTATCACAAAGTATGGAACTTTCATCTGGGAAACAACGAATATCAGTCAAGTTTGCAACTATAAATCGCCAGGGCGATATGGGGCCCATGTAACGCCAAGGAATGTGATCATTGAACGACTACAAAGTTCATTTGTGAAAAAAGGACGAGACGGTAGAGGAGTAAATTTAGCTTGCACATTTGAAAATGGGATAGGCATGGAAAATGACTACATCTTGGTACCTGAGGGAAGCAGGGTGAAAAGGAAAGATCTGCCAGACCCGGAAAATCCTCGCTTTCAGTATCTCTTTGAAAAACTTCAACAGCAAGCGAGTAACCGAGCTGCATCCATATACCTTCAGATCTGCAGAAACCGTAATCACTTGGTAAAAATGGTCCGGTATTTAGCCAATAGTTAGCCGACAGCAGCTGTACATCTCCTTGAGAGGACAGATGTCAAAGCTAAAAGCTTGAATAAACGATTGCTAATTACTCCATGTACCAACCTCAGAACAAGTGGCAACATCACTTTCAGTGCGAAGTTGCTAAGCAGTATGGAGATGGAACGCGTCGAGGCGACACTGAGCTACATCAAGTCCCATCTAGAGACCGAAATGTCACAACCTGTCATTCCACCGAGCAGAATGAACGTTGAGGAATGGTTGCAAGATGGCGAGGAGGCGTTAGAAGATATTTCCAACGGACTGTCCGAAGTAGCTCAGTCAGTGGCGAATACAACGGAATTATTTTTGGCAGCTTATCAGCTTGCTCGGAC